CACGGAAATTGCATTATTTTCATAGATTTGATACATTTTTCGTCGCTAAGCAAATTATGAAAGCATAGATTGTGCGCTGTTTCAATGCGCAATATTTCTGCTCGAATCAAAATATAAAGAGAATACTATTCAAAAGATCTTTTGCAATTGAAAAAATTTGATTTTTAAGGAATAGATTGTGTTGTGAGAACAAAATATTGCCTTTTAATTGTCATATTCTAATTTCAGTTTTTTACAAAATATTAGAAACTACTTGCAGAACAAAATGATTAGCACCAACACGCAGTCATTTCAGTCTGAGCTGCGGGAAAAGTGCGCGAGAAGTCTTAACAGTAAGAAGGCTACTGAGAAAAAGCAGTTTCAGTGTCCTATATGTAAGAGAGAATATCCGTACAAAAGTTACATGGATAGACATTTAATAATTCACACTGGAGTGAAGCCTTATCAGTGTAGCATTTGTGCTAAGCAATTTTCTACAATGGGTACTATGCGAAGCCATGAAAAAATCCATTCGGGGGAAAAATCTTACCAATGCCATGTGTGTAGTAAGAATTTCACACAGTAAGAATTTCACTCGTTTCACTCGGAAAATTATAGAATTAGCTGGGTTATAATTATGCATATTCAGTCTCGTTGTTGTAAAACTGCTGCAAATAATTTTACACGTACGTGTATTTGGTGTATGTGTGTGAATGCATTTCGCACTTCAATAAATTTTGGTTGATTGAATTGAAATGCACACATACGCGCGTGAACACGCAGACTTGCACAGCAAATATACGCACACGAAGACACAAAGGTAAGTAAGGACACGTGTATACACAATGAAAAGCAAATGCCCACACGCATTCATTTTAGATGCGAAAGGTTTTAATTACTATTAAAAGTGAAGTGCAATTTTTAGTAGCTTTTCACTGGCTGCGATGTACAATAAGGGAAAATCTGAATGCATAATCTTGCTAAGAAGTCAGAAAACAGACATCAATTGAGATTCAGCAAAGAAGAATTGTGCTTTGTTTAATGAGAAGCAACTTCAAATCGGAATAGATAGATAAATAGATATATCAGAAGTTGTATGCAATATTTTTGATCTCATAAATGGTACATGGAGAGGCTATGTGCCTTAGCAATACTTGACTTAAAAACTTAGATCGATCTTAAGTCGTAAGTTCGTTTTTTCTTAATGCTCGCCAGCACAAAACATTTCGTTTGCTGCGTTGTTTCTTTAGTCATTTGTTTGACTTTAATTACGCGTATTTACGCACAAATCTCTTTTAATAACTACAAGTATAATTGATTTTCGACGTAAATCCATGAATGATTGCCGCATACATCACGCATCCAGAGACATGATGCTGCCATATTCGATTAGTCCACTTGTGCTGCCAGTAAGTTTCGTTCATAACAACAATCATATAAGTTTTTTGGTGTAAAAATTTTTTTGCGCAGAAAAAATTTTAAGTAAAAAATGATAATAAAGTACACATAACAACATAGAATCACTTGGCACTGACATCAATTGTGGCTATTGCCTTTATTCCATTGCTCAAACACATACAACAGTAATCAGCCGTCTTCCTTCGAGATATTGATAACAGCTGCGCAAGTTAGCTTTATTTGAAGTGATATCAAATCAGACTGTTCGTCAAAAACATTTTTGTTTCTCATGAAATAGCAAGCGTGGTATTGATAGGGAGACGTACATGAATTTGCGATTCAGAATACTGTGATTAATAAATTTAGTATATATAATATAGCAATATTCTAACCTAAGCATTATTTCAAATTAAATAAACATTTAAGTTGTGCGGATAACACTATCTCATGGATAATTTGTGATAATATATATATACTTGAATGAAATAAAACTAGATGAACTTATATTCAGTCTAATATAGAGTATCCTTGAGGAGTATTGAAATGATGCAAAACTTGAAGCAGTAAAATACCGAGTTTCACTGTAGTAGAATCAATAATATGGTGAAAATATGCGATGCGCTTAGAAGCCAACAAAATATCTCAAAAAAATTTTTTAACATTAATTACAAATCTGTTGTTTTCAAATACGATACTTGAAAAATTAATTACTTGATGGTACTCTATTTTGCTGTTTCAGTGAAAAACATAAACGAATATGAATTAAAATTATTTCAGGAAATAACTGCAGCAAAATACTAAAATCTCATAATGCAAGCTTTGAATTAGTAAACAGGAAAGCACTGTTTTTAGCTAGCTATGAATAGTTTCAGTAAGGTTATTCTAATAACGATTATTTATAGTGATAATGATACTTACTGCAGAGATAACAAAACGTGGATGAAGGATATTGTTTTCATCTTGTGATGCTAGAGAACTATTCCAAGTTTCAAGAAGAGCAGCAATTAGTGCTATTATCACACATATTCCATAAATTATTATTAACTGAAAATGATTTTTAAACTAGACAATTACTTGTTTTTTGAATACATAAGTAAGAATACAAGTTTTGAATAAATGCCTGATACTCATTAATTAAGTTAATCAGTAAACGCTTCGAGTAAATTTCAAATATACTAAATATGTAATTGGTTAATTGTTATTTACTGAATGATAGAAAAAACTGATTAAGATTTTCACGTAAAAAATAAGATTTTAAAATATCAAACCTTGGACTTGCCATATTCCTGGATCAAATCTGTTCCACTTATATGCGCAAATAAGTTAATCACATTGATAATCCAGATGATAAGAAGACAACCAATTATTAAGGTTTGCCATCCATAACCTTTGTAACCGAGTTGTATATATACATTGTTATTATTCCATATAAATGAACTGGCAAATAAGGCAAAAGCTGCGAAGCACTAAATTTCTGTCACTTTTGTAAGAATTTTTAATCAAGCACATCATTTTCACTTTATTTCTCTAAATGAAAATGTAAATTCTATTGGATTACATTTTCAAAAAAGTATTTATTTGAAAATGTAATCCAATAGAATTTACATTTTCAAATAAATACTTTTTTTTATTCATTTAAAATACGAATTTAATATTCTGCAATTAATCTCGGATTTACATAAAAATTTGCGAGTTTGTGGAGATTCGCATATAATACGGCATACTTTTTCGAATTTACCATTTGAAACAACTAGCAGAAACAAATAAAAAGTTTATAATGCTGTAGAAAAAATATAATGCGGGACGCAAATTTTGAATTAGAACTGCGTGCTAATTTTTTCCAAATCTTTCAAAATTTTATTATTTACTGACGCGTTTACTGATTAACTTAAATGATATGTAATTATTAGATTACACATAACTTTTCAAAAAAATAAACTTTAACTATATAAGAATAAGTCAAAAAGCTAAAATCATTTTCTAGACTTGGTGATAAGAATAAAAGCTGAGAATTTTTCATGGTCAAGAAAATATAATCTTACCACTTGTGCAATAATCAAAATGCCGTAAATTTGTCTCATAAAATTCGAACTCATTCTCAGAAATTTTATCAAGCGTTTACACCATAACTGTAAATAAATTTGTCAATTATAAAGTTGAAGAACATCACTAATATTTGTAAGTATTTCAATCAAAATAAAAATTAATCTTACATTTAATAATACTTTTTAACTTTCTAATTCAAACTCAAAAAAGAATGTTCAGTTTTTATGAACATTTTCATTCAACTGTCATAAAAGCAAACATTTCAATTAGAAGCATTAATTCTAACTTTTGCAACGACAAAAATAATTAATATAATTTTTAGTAAGAACGATAATTACAAAATTAATTTTATATTCATACTTTACCTTCGTGTATTCTCGTTTGTACAAATTGTAGCTTATCACCTATTTTCAATATTTAAGCACAGTTTGGGGCGGAAAAACAATCGTTAATAATAAAAAAGCATTTTAAAGCGATAAAACGATGAAAATGAAATGCAAAGATGCCAAGTTACATAGCAAACAAAGTAAAGCAAATAAATTGCATTCATAATATACAAAAATTTTGTCTATTTATTGTATAATATGTCGTAAATATTTATTTCATATATTAGAAACTTGATTGCTAAATGTAAATTTCTGCTCTTAGCAAAGGCAGTAAAGACAAGAAAATTTTCAAAGTTATTTAAGAAAAATCTAAATTGATTATAGTTACAATTTGCAAAAATTCAAATCAATATTTACAAGCTTATTAATTTAGCAACTTTTTTAAAAAATTATGCCTGATTTGCATACAATGATCAATCATTAATATATTACTCTATTATTTATATTTACTTCAATCAAATAATATAGTCTAATTATAGTAATTCATGTTAAATTATAATACACTTAATAGATCAAAATTGTAGTTCTAGACCGGTCTACAATTATTGCTGTTGTCAGTACAAATAATTGTATGAGCAAGAATTAATTCACTGATTTTCTTTTATACAACTAAAGAATTGAGCAATCAGCCAAAAATGCTTCAAACTAGCAGTAAGAATGAACAATTTCAGTATTACTAATTATTGATTTATTTCTCGAAAAGAGTGTAATTTGCATAATTTTTGCAAAAAAAATAATTAAGTCGAAAGTGTGCCATATTTTTGACTTAAAATAGTGCTTGGTCAGAAACTGAAATATATGCGAGCAAATCAAACTAACGTTGCCCAGAATTTAGCTTAAAAAAATAGAAACTTTTTTCTCAATTTCACTCATATTGGTTGTTTTCGAAGTTGGAAAAAAAAA